GAATTCGCGCAGTTTGTCCCTCGAGTAAATCCGAGAACAAAAATTTTGAAAACATGTCAGTTTTTTCATAAATATTTTGATACTGTTTACTCGGGACGACAATTTTGACGGTCGAAGCTACTAGGGATGTTTCGGAGGTTGTTATCCGTATTAACGGTCAGAATCGTCCTTAAGCTCTCATTTATAATGGGTGAGTTCTGTTTCAAACCCAGAATTCACGCAGTTTTTCCCCCGAGGAAATCCGGGAACAAAAATTTTGAAAACATGTCAGTTTTTTCATAAATATTTTGATACTGTTTTCACGAGACGGCAATTTTGACCGTCGAAGCTACTAGAAATGTTTCGGAGCTTGGTATCCGTATTAACGGTCAGAATCGTCCTTAAGCTCTCAGTTATAATTAGTGAGTTTTGTTCCAACCCTAGAATTCACGCAGTTTTTCCCACGAGTAAATCCAAGAACAAAAATTTGGAAAACATGTCAGTCTTTTTATGAACATTTTGATACTGTTTACTCGGGACGACAATTTTGACGGTCGAAGCTACTAGGGATGTTTCGGAGCTTGTTATCCGTATTAACGGTCAGAATCGTCCTTAAGCTCTCATTTATAATTGGTGAGTTTTGTTCCAAACCCAGAATTCGCGCAGTTTTTTCCCCGAGTAAATCCGAGAACAAAAATTTTGAAAACATGTCAGCTTTTTCATAAATATTTTGATACTGTTTACTCGGGACGACAATTTTGACGGTCGAAGCTACTAGGAATGTTTCGGAGCTTGTTATCCGTATTAACGGTCAGAATCGTCCTTAAGCCCTCATTTATAATGGGTGAGTTCTGTTTCAAACCCAGAATTCACGCAGTTTTTCCCCCGAGGAAATCCGGGAACAAAAATTTTGAAAACATGTCAGTTTTTTCATAAATATTTTGATACTGTTTACTCGGGACGACAATTTTGACGGTCGAAGCTACTAGGAATGTTTCGGAGCTTGTTATCCTTATTAACGGTCAGAATCGTCCTTAAGCTCTCATTTATAATTGGTGAGTTTTGTTCCAAACCCAGAATTCGCGCAGTTTTTTCCCCGAGTAAATCCGAGAACAAAAATTTTGAAAACATGTCAGCTTTTTCATAAATATTTTGATACTGTTTTCTGGAGACGACAATTTTGACGGTCGAAGCTACTAGGGATGTTTCGGAGCTTGTTATCCGTATTAACGGTCAGAATCGTCCTTAAGCTCTCATTTATAATTGGTGAGTTTTGTTCCAAACCCAGAATTCGCGCAGTTTTTTCCCCGAGTAAATCCGAAAACAAAAATTTTGAAAACATGTCAGTTTTTTCATAAATATTTTGATACTGTTTTCTGGAGACGACAATTTTGACGGTCGAAGCTACTAGGGATGTGTCGGAGCTTGTTATAAGTATTAACGGTCAGAATCGTCCTTAAGCTCTCAGTTATAATTAGTGAGTTTTGTTCCAACCCTAGAATTCACGCAGTTTTTCCCACGAGTAAATCCAAGAACAAAAATTTGGAAAACATGTCAGTTTTTTATGAACATTTTGATTCTGTTTTCTGGAGACGACAATTTTGACGGTCGAAGCTACTAGGGATGTTTCGGAGCTTGTTATCCGTATTAACGGTCAGAATCGTCCTTAAGCCCTCATTTATAATGGGTGAGTTCTGTTTCAAACCCAGAATTCACGCAGTTTTTCCCCCGAGGAAATCCGGGAACAAAAATTTTGAAAACATGTCAGCTTTTTCATAAATATTTTGATACTGTTTACTCGGGACGACAATTTTGACGGTCGAAGCTACTAGGAATGTTTCGGAGCTTGTTATCCGTATTAACGGTCAGAATCGTCCTTAAGCCCTCATTTATAATGGGTGAGTTCTGTTTCAAACCCAGAATTCACGCAGTTTTTCCCCCGAGGAAATCCGGGAACAAAAATTTTGAAAACATGTCAGTTTTTTCATAAATATTTTGATACTGTTTACTCGGGACGACAATTTTGACGGTCGAAGCTACTAGGAATGTTTCGGAGCTTGTTATCCTTATTAACGGTCAGAATCGTCCTTAAGCTCTCATTTATAATTGGTGAGTTTTGTTCCAAACCCAGAATTCGCGCAGTTTTTTCCCCGAGTAAATCCGAGAACAAAAATTTTGAAAACATGTCAGCTTTTTCATAAATATTTTGATACTGTTTTCTGGAGACGACAATTTTGACGGTCGAAGCTACTAGGGATGTTTCGGAGCTTGTTATCCGTATTAACGGTCAGAATCGTCCTTAAGCTCTCATTTATAATTGGTGAGTTTTGTTCCAAACCCAGAATTCGCGCAGTTTTTTCCCCGAGTAAATCCGAAAACAAAAATTTTGAAAACATGTCAGTTTTTTCATAAATATTTTGATACCGTATTCACGAGACGGCAATTTTGACGGTCGAAGATACTAGGGAAATTAGGGTGGACAAATCCATTATTAATAAATTGAACAAGTCAAGGGCAATGAGGACATCTTGATTTGGTAAAATACCAATTTTTACAAAGTTTACAACATTACAAATATTCAAGTGAATTTTTTGCAACCGATTTTGATAAAATTGAAAATGATTTTCAAAAATAATTTTTGAAAAATATTGGATTTTAAAACTTATTTTGTCACAAAAAATGATTACATACATAGTTAGCGAATTAGCAAAATATTTTAAAATCAATAAATGTGGACTTAGTTCAATAAATTCCTTGAAATTTTGAGCTAAAAGTTGCAAGTAAAAGAAAGCATTGGAATTTTTGACAATATATATTTTGTCCTGAAAAATCATAACGGATTATTATATAACGGATTGAATACACATTTTTTTAATCAACAAGTGTTGACCAAATTCATCAAAATTTTCTGCAGATTTCATAAAAATCCACAAATCACATTTCAATCAGTCTAAACCTGTGGTTCGATTTTGTACTAATCTTTTCAACTATGCTTTTCATATCTTGACATAAAGTTACCCAAGTTTTCAAAATCATGCCAAAATTTTCAAAAATCTTCAGATTAAACCCAAAATGTATTTTTACATTACAAAAATTTCTTCAAACTAAAGAAAATCAATAGAATTGATCGAAATCACCAAATTTGATTAAAAATCCTTCTTAAAATAGTCAGCCGAAGTCTGCTGGTCAATAAGCTAATAATATTTTTTCCAACTTTTCATATCTGGCGATAAAATTACACGTTTTCAAAATCATGCCAAAATTCTCAAAAATTCAAAATCATACCAAAATTCTCAAAAATCTTAAAGTTAAATCCAAAATTAAATCGGATATTTTTTATACATTTTCAAAAAATTTTCCGAACTAAAAAAATTAACAAAATTTACCAAAATCTATATCCTTGACATTTCAATCCTATCGAATCTGTTGGTCAATTCCCAAATCGTTTTTCTTCGTATTTTTCATATCTGGCCTAGTTATATAAGTTTTCAAAATCATGCCAAAATTTTCAAAAACCTTCAAATTAAATTCAAAATGAACATATTTTTACATTTCAAAAATTCCTTCAAACTAAAAAATTCAACAGAATTGATCGAAATACACCAAATTCTTAAATATTCCATTATGCGAAATCTGTCGTTCAGTTAGCTAATAATATTTTTTCCTAGTTTTCATATCTGGCGATAAAGCTTTCAAACTAATTCCAAAAATTTCCAGAAATCAACCAATTAAATCCATAATGTTTTCACACTTCAAAAATTCCTTCAAGCTAAAAAAAATTAACTGAATCCATCAAAATCTATCAAATTTCAATCATACAGAATCTATTCGACGATTCGACTTCTCGGCGATTTGATCTTTAATTATTTAACAATTCATTTCTCCCCAAGTTTTCATATCTGGTTTCAAAGTTACTCAAGTTTTCAAAATCATGCTAAACTTGCCAAAATTATTCCAAAATTTTCAAAAGTCTTCAAACTTTACATATTTTTATATTTAAAAAATTCCTTCAAACTAAAAAAATCTTACTCCATCTTTTCTAATCTCGTGGCCACGTGGACGGTGGTATTTTCCGGGCGGAGAACCACCATTCTGATCGCCTCCAACATTTTGGCGACCTTTTTGAAACTTTTGGGTAGTTCGGCGCCCAACCGTTCGAGAAAAACTTGCTGCCTCACGAGCGACATGGCCCTCAAGTTAGAGTTCATGCTATAAAGAGATTCGCCATTCATGGCGGCGACCATCATGGGGCCGTGATCGAGCAGCGTCGTGACCTCGGAGGCGAGTCGCGTGGCGATATTTTTCAATCGATCCGGCTGCCATTTCGTGTTCCAGAGGAGAATCTGCATCCACTGCCTTCTTTGACACGTTTCATCTCCATTTGAAATCGGATGCAGAATAGGTTGGAGAAATCTGAGGGGGGAGACTTTTAGGAAATTTTAGAAATTCAGAAAAGCTTAAATTTTGTGTTGCTTTTTGAACAGAATAAGCACGTGCTGGGTAATTTTTTCTAGGAAATTTTGAAATTCTGGTGCCACCATTATTATCTCAAGCTAACAATTTTTTACATGTTACGAAACCTCAGGAGTTAGTAAGTTCAGCTTGGCAAATTTTTAAGAAATTTTGAAATTCATAACATTCTTGCTATCTCAAATTGCTCATTTTATTCTACTACGAAATTGTAGGGGTTAGAAAATTGAGCTGGGCAATTTTCAGAAATTTTAAAATTCTGGAAATTCTCGCTAATTGCTAATCTCAAATTATTATTTTTTAACTACGAAATCTTCACGATTAGAAACAAGCTGGGTAAATTTTTAGGAAATTTTGAAAATCAGAAAATTCTATACAAATAAAACTCAAAATAATGATTTTTTCTATTCCGAATTCTTAAGGTTCAGAAAACGAACCGGCTAAATTTTTACGAAATTTCGAAATTCATACGTCATCATTCATTTTTCTACTACTCACTTCCGCACGAGAACCGATTCCCACCCTTCCCACGATCCCAATCAATTCCGAAGAATGTTTCGTACTTGAGGACATCCCGCGACAGGCCGGCGATCATTGCCTCGTAGGAGTAGAAGCGCTGCGAGTTGTCGACGTAGGGCGCCTCGAGCAGCGCTTCGGCGAAGAGGACGAGATACTTCTTCTCCTCGAGCGTCAACTCGGCCGTGTCCATGAGCACGGTCAGGTAGACGTAGTTCGTGTTCATGTCATCCAAGTACAAGTTGCACAACGTGTCGCCCACGAGGGGTTGTCGTGTCGCTCGATACCCAAAAATCCTAAGAAATCGCAAAAAATTGATCGCTAATTTTGTAAATTCGAAATTTAGAGAACAGTTTGATAGCGTCTTTTTCTTTGATTAGAAAATTCAAATTTTTGGGGACAAATTTTGTCAAACATCCTGCGGGATAGAAATCATTAAAAAAATTGTATGACTAATTTTGAGAATTCGACAGGCAGACAACAGTTTGATGTTGGTTTAAAAAAATTGAGAATTTGGGGTACACATTTTCCCAAAAATGCATGCGGGACAGAAATTGTAAAAAAATATACCAAAAATTCGATAGCTGGAGTTCAATTTGACGAAATGGTAGGTTTGAAAAATTGCAGATTTTTAGCAAAATTTTAACGAAAAGTGATCAGAATGTTGAAAATTGACTAGGTAATTAATGACACAAAATTGAAAAATCTTGTAGAAATTTTGACAATTTTATAAAATTTTGTAAAAATTCATACCAATCGATCCAATTGACGGCGTTTTGATGAAACTCAGCATCTGCGGTGGGGGTGGTTTCGCCTGTATTTTAATCGCCGCTTTCAATCTCGCCCCCAACTTTTTACATCCTTCCGGCCCCATTTTTTCGAGGATTTCCTAACCACAAATTTTCAAAATACTAATTCTTTTTTTACAAAATTTTATTTCTCTGCAAAAGAAACTACCGTTTGTCTCTCTTCGTCCTCGACGTCATGCGGGTCTCCAGTTTCTTTGCTGGGCACGGCGTAAACCAACGCCCAGTTCGAATCGAGGAGGGTTTTAAGCATTTTGAGCCAAAAACGGGCCGGTTGGGAGCCAAACTGTTCGAGAGTGTAGAACCGATTGATCCGCCGGTCGAAAGTGAGGAGGTCGTTGGAAAAGCTGTAGATAAAGTCGGAAATCACGGCGATCGTGTCCTCCGCATCGTTTTCCATGGCGGACATGGCCTGGAAAAAGGAGAATAGAATGACTTGAAATTAAGTAGTTTTTGTCGTGAAATATGGGAGAAATTGCTGCACTAAATTGTTCTTTTGTATGGAGAATTTCTTGCAGGTGTGCAAGAAATGTAAGAAATTGATAAGCCACTAGGGGCGAATATTTCTTGCAGTTTTTTTGCAGAGAAGTGCAAAAAACATGGAAAAGGTGCAAGAAATCGAACATTGAAATTCGAAACACCCGGTAACTGATTTTGTAAGACAAGTTAAAAACTGGTAAAAAATGGTTTTGTAAAAAAACGGTTTTAAAGTTGTCTTAAAAACCGAAAGCGCAAAAACTTGGGGTTTCACATACTCGAAAATCGGCTTTCAATTTTTAATAACACAAATTATTAGGAGCTAATTAACCGATTTTGCAGACAATCGAAAACCGGTTTACCAAAATTTTCGAAATCAAAATCGGTTTTATCAGAATTTGAAAAATCCTGTTTTTTTAATCCTCCCATTTTGGATTCCCTTATTGGCTAGACCACATTTTTCAAAATTCTCCCGCTAAATTCAAAATTTAAATCGTTCCCACCTCTTGACAACAACGCCCCACCACCATCTCCATCCTTTCCGGGTTAAATTTCCCGTTGTATTCCTCCTCCAACACTTTCCTCAACTTTGGGCCGACGCCTTCCTGTCCGTGCGTCGGAACGTTTTCAAAATTGAAGCAGTACACGGTTTGAACGTTTCCGGACTTGGTCAACGTGACCCCGCTGGCTTCCCCCGTGGCAACGAAGGCCGTCTGCACCGGGGAGATAGGGGACGCCACCAAGTACGCGATCAGGATGTCCATCCCGGCCGAAAGCGTCACTTCCGACGACGCCGTGCCCATCATGGCCAACTTAAGGGGATACTAATTAAATCAATTTATTTTAAGGTAGAATTATCAGATCGCATGGATGACATTATTTAAGTGATTTATTCACTAGCTTTCAGGGTTCAACTGCCCCCTTCTTCAGGTGTAAAAGTGTACAGGAAAGAATAGAATTATAATTTCATGAAAGATAATATTTTCAAAATTAGACGAAGTTGTTGATATCATTGGGGTCGCTGGGTAACCGGGCGTATAAGCGTTGGTGCTAGGGGCAGGAGTAGTGATGTCCAAATTGGATTTATTTCCATACCTGAATCGCGATTTACTTTGTTTTTGGTGTTTCTGATTAGTAATCCCTCCTTAAATCAATTTAATTATTTAACGACATTTTTGTAACTTTATAAACGGGGTAAATTAATTTATAAAATGCTATACAAAATTAGATTTGAAATTCGTGGATAAAATCATGGTCAACTAAAGGGGACATTAAATTAATTTAATTTCTAGTTAGGACCACATTTGTAGCGTAAACTGCGAGAAAAGTGCTACATAAAACAAATTTTGTGGATGAACCAAATTTTTGGTTTACACATTTATATCACAAAACTTGCCAACAAATTTTATAAGTTTACAAAGTTGACGTGAATAATTGACCCCATTGGTAATGTTTTTGTAAATTTTTCAAAACTAATGTTACACAAATTAGGTTTACATTTCTATTACAATTAATTTTAATTATACAATTTTAAAATTTACAAATTTTAAAAATAATCAAAATAAAATGTTCAAATGTACAGAATGTGTAACGTTTTTTCTGGAGAATTTTTCATTGTTATGAATTTTTTAGATTTCCAAGAGAGTTGAATCGGTTGGACGTTGGACGCTTTTTTGAATACATCTGAAACGAAACAGAATATTTCGATTTAAAAAAATCCATCCGAACCGACTCCGAATCATTCGGTTCGGATGAATACTTTATCCAAAAGTCGGATAACCCACTCAACTCCTCTGATTCCCAACTTATTAGAGTAAATGACAATAGAATCTACATCAAATTAAGTCCAGAACAACTTTTAAAATTCTAGAAAAAGCCGTCAAAGTTAACAAATTTTAACATGTTAAAATTTAACTTATAAATTCTATTGTACTTTACGCTAATAAATAAGTTGCGAATTTCAAAAACATAATTTCTCATAAAAATGGAAATAAAAATTTCTCCAAAAAAAAACTTTACACATTTTGTATACGTGTGAACATTTCATTCTTATTAATAAAAATCAAAAACAATTTGTAAAATTCTAGAAAAAGGCGTCAAATTTTGACGTCTTTTTTACAAACTATTAATAAAAATATCAATAAAAACAATTTGTAAAATTCTAGAAAAAGGCGTCAAATTTTGACGTCTTTTTTACAAACTATTAATAAAAATATCAATAAAAACAATTTGTAAAATTCTAGAAAAAGGCGTCAAATTTTGACGTCTTTTTTACAAACTTCAAACATTGTTTCTTTACTTAAATTAACTCAGATCTTCTTGGTCAATTGCCGCAAATTTAAAATTTCACAACAATAAAAATATTATTTTGTAAAACATAGAAATTTTAATTATTACCGAAAATGCGTTTTTTTAACACGTTAATATTATAATTTTTTCGAATTTGTTAAATTTTGACGTCTTTTTCATGAATTTCAAAAACTTTTCTGGGCTTAATTTGACTTAAATAAGCGTCACGAATCCTCCAAGTTCGAAATTTTAATAAATATTAAAATTCTCATAAACACTGAAGTTATAAATCCTACCGGTCCGAAAATGCGTCCGGTTTTTCAACACATTTTTGGTTATTTTTCTTGAATTTTAGAAATTATTTTTTTGTTTAATTTGAATCAGATCGATTAGCACAAGTTGGAAATTTTACGAAAACCAAAATTCTTATAAAAATCGAAATTAGAATTTCCAGACAAAATGCGTTACGCTTTTTCCATATTTTAATGTTGTAATTTTTTCTAATTTGTTAAATTCTGGCCATTTTTCACGAATTTCAAAAATTCTTATTGGCTTAATTTGGCTAAGCTTATCGTGCACTTGTACCAGTTCTCCAAGTTGGAAATTTCATAAAAATTAAAATTCTCATAAAAACCGAAATTATAATTTCTACAGAAAATGTTTTTTCCAATGTGAATATTTTTTGTATTTTAGAATTTGTTCTACTTATTCTACTTATTTGATGACTTTTAAAAGTTCTTTCTGGAAACCGGATGTCAAACCCCCTCCACACAAACACCACTCGGTTCGTATTATAGGCAACTATAAAATTTGCAAACGAAATGAAAAAAAATCATACTAGCCTAGGGTTGGATGACTTATCGCTTAAATCGTCAAAATAAGCACATTTATAATCATTTCCAATCTGTGGGAATTTATTTTAAAATTCTGGACGACAGATTTGTAGAGTATGTCGTTGCCAATTTTTTTTTAAATATACACTCCGGATTTTGACACTTTTTGAAGAAGGGGATCTCAAGTTTAAGAAGCCTTCAAAAAATTGGAACCCGTCGAAACTGGCTCAAAAAATTCAACCCCATTCTATCAATCAAACCACTGAGTACAAATTTATCGCTCAGTCTCTAGAATTTTGAAGTAAATTCCCAGACCCGAAGAACTATCGAAAAATGTGTTGATTTTGACCATTTTGGTGACGCGTTATCGAGTCATATGTTACTTTTATTTTCAACTTTAGAGGTGAAGAAGGGCACGCATGACTTTTCTCCATCTTATTCTCGATAAACTCTTCTCTTTCAGAAACTGCATTAATTTCGGTTCCACCCTCATCAACGTGACCTCCTCAGATTCTGAAAATTTAATTCGTGTTGATTTAAATTGTAGTCAAAAGAATTTTGTCTCAATCTGCCCCAAAATTTTACAAAAACCGAGATTTTGAAAACTTTGACCTTCGCTAACTTTTGAGAGGGGAGAGCTACCGAGTTAATTTTATGTTTTAAATAGTCACGACTTTTGGCTTGGTTTTTACACAAAAAATCCCTAGGGACATAATTCTTAAAGCTTGGTGAGTGGTCATTCTGTTTTATTAGTATTTAAATATTTTCTCCCTCACCGCAAAAAGTAGTAGACTTCATCATGCAAATTGTCCACAATTTTGTACTCCGCATAGACATCTTCGATGTGGGTCCGATCTGGTAGTTTTAAGACCCAATTTTGCCCCTCGAAAAATTGAAGGCATTCTTCTTGAAACGCCAGTGTTAAAAAACATAAAACTGAACCGGGTAAAACTACCAGATTGGTCCCACATCAAACATGCTATGCGGAATACAAAATTGTGGAAAATTTTCATGACGAAGTCTACTACTTTTTGCGGTGAGGGAGAAAATATTTATAAAAAACTAAAACAAAATGAACACTCACCAAGCTATTACTTTAAGAATTATGTCTTTCGGGATTTTTTGCCTAAAAATCAAGCCAAAGGTCGTGACTATTTGAAACGTAAAATTAACTAGGTAGCTCTCCCCTCTCAAAAGTTGGCGAAGGTCAAAGTTTTCAAAATCTCGGTTTTTCTTGGGGCATATTGAAACAAAATTATTCTAACTACAATTTAAATTAATACTAATTAAATTTTCAGATTCGGTATGAAATTTTGAGCATTCTCATGTGCTACTAGAATTTCCAATATTCCTGGTTTCCTGTTTGGTTTACATGCTAAACATTAATTTTTTAGTTAAAAATCCAAGTCAATGAAAATACTTCAAATTTCATGCTGAATTCGAATATTAAACCAGTTTTACATTAATATATAATTTTGGGAATTTGGCTTCAACCCGCCCCAAAATCTACCAAAAGTCACAAAAATCCAAAAACCCACAAAAATCCGGAAAAACACCCGGAGTTGGGTTTTCTAGAAAAACCCCGGGGTTTCCCGAACCCTGAATAAAACCCCGGGGTAGTGGTTTTCGAGGTAAAACTCTGGGTTTCTCCTAACCCTGAAGCGAGCGCGTGGTTGGCGAAAATTACGAGATTCGCCAATTTCCCGTTGAACCCTTCGATCCCGGTGAACTTGGAGTTGACCAAGTACGTGTCCGGGATCCAGATTTGAGGCAAAACCGGGCGGGACAATGATATAAGAGGTCGACGACGTGTTGGCACAGGCGTCGGGGTCATCGTCTGGGTCGGGGGTCAACCCACGTCAGCGTTCAGCGCATGTTGACGCGGAATTCGAGTTCCGAAGTGAGAATGGGAGCGACCGTTTGGACGTAAACTTTCAGCGAGACTTGATGCATTTTAAGCTGGGTTCGGAAAACCCCGGGGTTTTTCTAGAAAAACCCAATCCCGTGGGTTTTTCCGGAGTTTTTGGGGTTTTTGTGGGTTTTTGGGTTTTTGTGGGTTTTTGTGGGTTTTTGGGTTTTTGTGGGTTTTTGTGGGTTTTTTGCAGATTATGGGGCGGGGTTAAGACCAAATTCCTAAAATTATATGTTAGAGTAAAATTAATTCAATATTCGTACTCAGCATGAAATTTGAAGTGTTTTCATTGACTTGGATTTGTAAGTCAAAATGCAATGTTTAACATGTAAACCCAATAATAAACCAGGAATATGTAATGATACTTGGAAATTCAAGTCGCACATAAAATGTTCAAACTTTCATGCTGAATCCGAAAATTTAATTCTCATTAATTTAAGTTGTAGTTTAAGGGATTTTGTATCAATCTACCACAAAATCTTACAAAAACCCCGGAAAAACCCACAAACCCCCACAAAAACCCGCAAAAACCCCATTAAGCATTAGGGTTTTTCCGGAGATTTGATACCCCAAAAACCCACAAAAACCCTAAAAACCCCAACCCACAAAAACCCGAGGTAGCGAACCCTGATTTCAAGCTCAAAAATGAAATTAAGCTTAAAATATTTCTTAAGATATTTTCATGACGAGAGCGACTGGTGGGAGTAATAATTGACCCAAATTAGGGACGAAGTTTCCAGCATGAATTTCTCCCCGGGACGATTTTCTCCCACTTTCTTGACCATGGGGACGAACAGCTTTCTCAATTTGGGCGTCTCGTTTCCAACCTCGGCGTCAATTTTTATTGGGTCGTCTTCTTGTTCCGCGGATTCGTATGTACAATTTAGTGAAAAATTCGTGCAAACTTGACAACTTTTTTGGCAAGGTTGGAACGTTTATCAATTTGTGATGAGGATGATGAATAATTTGTATCCATTTCCAGTTTTGATGTAATACTCATACGACGAGAGAAAAAGTTGAAACTGAGGCAAGTTGAGACTATGTAAATGTAAAGGAACTGTTCGGTCCCTACAAAATTGTACGTGATACAATTTAGTTCTCACATTTTTTACAAATTTTTTGTAATTGAAACTTTGTTGATAAATTGAGATACAAGAGAGCTGCGATGGCTGTTTGAAATTGAGGTAAGTTGAGACTATGTACATAAATGCAAATGCAGTAAGAATTGTTCTTTAAGGGCAACTTGATACATAGTTTAGTTCTCACGTTCATAAAATCACACTTTTTAACCGAAACTTTGTTGATAAATGGGGACAAAAATTATCAAGAACGGCAGGAAAGTGTAACAAAAATACGTACATCCAGCCATCCATCCATCTTATGAAGTCTACCGGC